AGAGGTTTAGTTCAGGACCCCCGCTTAAATACTCCATCTTTTCCAGGTACTCAACGTTCTTCCATTCCAAGTAGGCGAAAGTTTTTCCAACGCCCTTCGATTAAATGTGTTGTCACCCAATCCTGTAGCAGTACAAAGTTTCCAAGAAGGTACGGGACGACATGAAGATGGGATATTCTCCTCGAGTTGCTCGATGTAGCCACCAGCGCACACCCTCAGTCTGGGGCCCACGAAGAAAATATCGGTTCATCCATTCCAGGTACGGGGCCGGTCTACACCATCCCACCGCACGCCCGTGGTGAATGGGGTGAAGATGATGTCCTGGACCGTGCCGACGTTGCCGGAGCTGCTCGATGTTTGAGGTCTTGCAGATCAAGAGTACTGGTCTCCAGGTAGCTATCCATGGGTGATTCCATTCAAGAAGTTCCGCAGCTGTTTGGAGGCCACGTGAATTCCAAAGGCGTTCTCCACTCAGGCCGCGACTGGAGATGACTTCATATTTTGGTGTACATGAAGGTGAATGGCGGCAGCCGGCTCCTGCTTATAGAGGAAGATCTTGGGTATCTTCCGCCCTGGTACTAAATATCACTTCCTCTGTCTGGGCTGCGAAAACTTCGCTCATATGTGACTCGGCCGGAAATGACGTTTTTTGCCCCCCCCTCCTGTATACATGTGATTACGAACAATATGCTTTCAACACCCTGTAAGCCTTGTCGTCACCATGTGTGCCTCACCAAAGGTTATTAGCACCTTCTCAGTTCCCTCATCGTTTGACGTGGATATGCGTGAGTGAGCCAAATAATTGAACCTGCTCATAAAACTCGACAGACCGTTCGGTCCGATGCATATCTGCAAGATCGGAATAGCCATCGTTGAATCGCTTGGACCGATGTTGAGCCGCCCCAAGAGACAGCGTCATACTCTCCTCAACTGACCATGGGCTTGTGCGGCTTTAGCACCTCTATCAACCAGAAGAAGGTACCGAAAATACTTATTTTCGTCTTTACACTCATTCTCAATGGCTTGATTGAATTAAAAAAATAGTTTTTTGTGTTGTGTTCTATACATTGTGAAATCCTTTATCGAATGGTGGACGTGCTGTTGGCTATATATTCCATTTGTCACAATTTCAAGTTAGAAAACGAGCTGATGGGCCACCCCAGTATAACTCCAGATCCCAAAGCTGGAAGGTCGAGGCTGCGTACGCTATTTAAATGTAGGGGCTGCTGATCTTGTGGTAGGCATTGCCATTTTGGTGCACTTGTGATCATCTTTTTGTCCAGAACAGGGCACGAAGACAGCTGTCTCAAGTGGAAGTATCCCACGGGGAACGCATTCAGCGCTATTTCCAAATGAAGTATGCACCCACGCCCTGCCCATTTCTGATATAAAGGGGTACACTTGAAAAGGCTAAACGTGTGTAGAAAAAACTGTATAGGGACCAGTACCAATATTGATTAGAGAGGTTCTGACAATGAGGATCGAAGCGATTAATTGTGGTAATAGCCTCGCCGTGAGACTCATTGTTAACGCTGCTCGCGAATCCGCTCTTGAAATCTGTCAAATCGACACCTGAATGAGGCTCTGAAGACCACTTTCTTCACTTATTTCTTCGGGTCTTAAGTTCCGGTATTCTCTCAGGTGCTTCAGTGAATTAGACCGCTGAGAAAACTGAAGAGTTGAAATTATAGGTGGTCTGGCACACCAAAGAGAAATTTTTTTCCACGTGAAAGCTTGTCAAAGAATCAGTCTCACGACCAGCGACCTCTGAGGCCCACTGTGATAATCTTTACACCTCATATCCCGGAGGCAGAATGGGCGTAGATTCGTTTGAGCGAGGTGGCAGCTGCGCTCATGAAGGAATATTTTTGTTTTGAGTCATTGAAGTGATGCTTGTGTTCGGCACAATAAAGGAAAACACTTATCTCGAACTGATGTAACACAAGAGAAGCTCATCCTAGGCCATATCCCAACGAAATAACCAGCCACAACCTCTTTATTTCCTTGATAAGGAAGGAGCGTAGGGACAGCTTCTTGAGTCTGATGAGAGATTCTTGGGAAAATTTCCAAAGCAGATTTGGAGTCAACCGCAAAAAAGGAATCTGGGAAAATTCCGTCCCTGAGAACCCTTTCTACTATGCCCACTGTGACGACATTCTGGCTCTCAGCGCTTTCCTGAAAACTGGACTTTTGAATGGGTATTCAGTGGGCTCCTGAAAGTCGGCTGCTAAATGACATTATGTACCTCTTCACTCCGCAAACCCTGAAAGAACCTTCCCATTTGGGTGAGGGTTTGCTAAATCGGATAGCCCACCCTGATCTCGTTCACCTGAATAGCGCTGAAGGGCTGTTACTTCGATAGCATATTTAATAAAATCGTATCGTTCCGTTAAATTCCATTCTCTCCCTTTTTCTTATTTGTAACCGGTTATGTTTGCAGAGTATGCGACTACCTGACCTGCTATCTGCTATTACTCTAAACCTCGTTCTAGCGTTGTTCTCGATGGTGATGGCAATAGTTGCTCTCGGCCTTCTGGCCTTTGTCCTCGCCAAGGTGAGAATTCTTCGAGCTCAAAAATTTTCAAACGCCACTCGTTCGAGAAAATATGTGCCCTCTGTTTCAGGACAATTACCTCCACAAAGAGAGCCCACCCACTATGAAGAACGACAAAATCAAACGTCATGAAAGTGTTGTGGTCGACTTCAAGAATCCAAGCAGTTAGTTTTACTGAATTCTTTCGTGAAATGCAATCGCAGAAATGCCAAGTTATGGGCAACTTTTTAGCCAGCCAGGTTCTAAACCTACCTACACCTACCTGAGATTATTAGCGTTGGAAGAGACCCATCTCTAACGTTTTAGATCACGTCACGCTTCCTTGTCTGCAACCTCTAACCGAGATAGCATAACATGCCCTGACAGGTCGAAGCCAGGATATGGCGTGATTAATTCCTTGATGGCGCCACATCACGTCATCTGCTGAGTTCCTTCACATGAAAATGACACCACCAAATGCCAACAGATGACGCTGTGTTGGTAGTCCCTCGCCCACCTGCCTCGCATCCTTCACCCTCATCCCGCTCAATACGGCCCTCTATTTGCGAGAATTTTCAACCGGCATGTTTCCTGTTCATTACTTTGATCAGTGGCTAACCCTCGCTGAAGGATCAACCGACAGAAAGCGCATAGATTTCCTTGACCTCATTCTTTTCAAGCTAAACCATTACACACCTAGGCTTTCATCTGCGTGGATGTATTTTTCGAAGCTCATCAAAATTCAAATTTGATCTCATTAGTCGGGAAGTGCAAGGAAATGGTCCACTAAACAAGAAGCATCCCTGAACCGACTCAAAAATTGCGCAAGAGACTCTGGCAGCGGGCGAGAGAGGAAGGATGGCCGTCCCAAAGTTGGGAGCCTTTGGCAGAGAGTGGATGTGTAGTCTTTAAAGTGAGCGAGGCTTTTACGCGAGACAAGACTGCCCTAGCTGCCGAATTGAATCGCCTTAAACATTCGTTTTGCATGTGCTTGCATTTTTTTACTGCAAAAAGAATGCGAAAATAATACCATGCCAGGCGTAGGGTTTAACGCGAACGGCGAAAAGAATAGAATTCTCTGTGCGGAAGGGATATTCCAAGCCTTCCCGTGACAGACTCAGCAGTACCCCTACGCCGCCTCATGTGCTCTCCTTTCTAAAAGCGTCAACGACCGAAAGGCAACAACTGGGCGGCTGACTAGCTCTTCACCATGACCCTTTCTTCAAGTGAAGCACTACCTACTCTACATTAACTCATGTTTCAGCCGTACCGGACCACTTTCTTGAACTGAATACCTTGATGTTCCAAAAGAAGCCTAAAAACAACCAGGTGAGGTGTTTTTTTGGGCAGGTGTTTTTGATGCCACAGTTCGCCTTATAAAAGTTCTCACACAAATGCCGAGTTATGGACTGAAGTCTTGATCTCTGACGAGACTCGAATCCGCCTGGGATCCGCGACTGATGTCATTAAACTGAGAGGATACGAGGCCTAACCGATATTGTACTCATCCGCTAGGCGGGAAGTACGGGCACGCATCCTTCTCGAGGTCCTAACTTTTGCCCGTACTCAGCACTCTTGTGACAAATTAAGTATTATCTAGTGTAAGAGTGCTTTGCTTCACTGCACAATTCATAAGAAATATCCTCAGGTGACCCATATGCCTGGCGCTGTGCCATTATCCGGCATGGATCTCATGTCTTCATCAAAAGAAGATCAGACTGAAGATAGCACACGTCAGGTTTTACCGGTTCGTTTTTCATCAGCGCTAAGGAGATTTCTTTCGAAAACGATTTCCATCTGATCCGATTTGCAGGCTGAGTCCGAGGATGTCGCAACAAACAAAATCAATTCAGTATTGCGAGCTCAAAGGATCCATACCTGAGGCAAGCTCCACGATGTGAGTCATCTTGTTCTCAGTCCCTCCGAGTCTGCCACTATTGCGTGTGAGTAAGACCTGCGCAGCACACAGGCTTCACTAAATCTACTGCCATCACATTTTTGTGGCCTTACTGTTTTGTGGCGGAGGTGACGCTGCAACAGTGGCCCGCTTAACACTCGCGTTGTCCTAGGGTAAGGTTTTTAAAATCAGCTCTCACTCTGGCTAATCGAGGCTTCTACCCTCCTGGTGTGGGGAAAAGTATCTTTCGTAACCTAACAGAATGTGTTTTCACAACACTGGAACATGAAAGGAGAGCCAAAGTGATTAAGTAAAACACCGCGTAGAGACAAATTTATGACACACCATGTGTGTCACGGGTCCGAAAGGTGTTATTTCATATTTACGAGGGGTATTCAATGAATTCTCGGTATGAGTAAGGAGGAAGAAGCAAGAAAATTCTGATTTTATATTTAAATTTTATTTTCCAATGTAGTCTCCCCATAATCTCAATACGCTTGTTTACTCATGAAACTCCATAGTTCAGGCACTCACCGTCGTCATTCGTGACTGACTCTGGAATCTCCGACGAGGACTACACATCCGACTCAACAAGCTCAACGCCGAGCTCAACGAACGAGAAACCACGTAAAACTACGAACGTAAGGAGACATTTATAGCAATGTTTAGCCTTGAAAATCTTTGTTTCCTGGTTTCATCCACCCTTTGACTCTTTCATTTTTCGTTTTCGGGGGTGGAGTTGGCTAGAAGTGTTCTTATGAGAGAAGCTTGACTCCTTTCAATACGAATCACCCTGGTCCGTTCAACAGCTGCTAACATCAGAATCTGTTCAAGCCCTGCCGCTGTAAATTTCTGCAGGACAGCACATGTGAGACAGGAAAAACGGCGAGGAAAATACTTCTTCCCTTGAATTTTCCCCAACTCCCTGCCACTTGTTCCGAAATTATCCTGGAAATTTCCCCACTTTCACCCAAGAATTTTGCTGTCGATCGGGGGGAGGTTTAGGGGTGGAGCGAGGGGGGAGGTATATAATATAGCACACATGAAACAAGAAAA